CAGAGAGGCAGAGGCAGAAAGGTCTTCCAACTGCTGGTTCACTCCCCAGATGACCACAACGGCCAGAGCTACGATCCAGGATTCAATGCCAGGAGCCAGGAGATTCTTCCGGGTCTCCCATGTGAGTGCAGGGGCCCAAAGACTTGGGCCATCTTCCACAGCTTTCCCAGGCCATAGCAGAGAGCTGGATCGGAAGTGGAGCAGCCGGGACTCGAAACGGCGCCCATGTGGGAGGCTGGCGCTGCAGGTGGCGACTTTACCACTACGCCACAGTGCCAGCCCTGGTAGTGCCCTACTTCCAACGAGCCAAGCCAGAGTCCCAGTGCTCAGAAGGTCTGTCTTCTCCTTTCCTAAAGGAGGGCTGCAGAATTCCACCCTGTGATAGGGCTGCCAGGGAGCTCCTGGAGAATGTAGGTGCTCTACCATGCGCTTTGCTTCTGCGGTGGGAGGGGTCATCAAGCAAACTGGACATACCCCAATGGATCATTTATGATCTGCTACTGACCTTCCAGCTCCCTGACTCACCCCCCCTCCCCAAGAAAACCACAAGGGCGAAAGGTGAAAAGCTTTGAAGTTGTAACATTGGCTTTGTTTGAGAGACCTTATCATAATACTGGCTGGGAAAAGCGATAAAAAGGATAAAAAAAAGTTGCATAAGATGCTTTGTGCCAGTGTTGGAGCTGCTGGCGATAAGGAGGAGGCCATGTGATCTGACACCACAGGAGCTGGTGACGTTTAGGTTTTATGGCCGTGAACTTCCAGCCATAAAAACATCTTTACTGTGAGGACACCTCTAGGGAAAATTAACTTTGTTATTGTGACGCTCAAGCTCTCCAGAACCAACCTCCCGGCTCCCCTTTCAATCGCCATTGAAACTGTTTTTATAACCAAGACCCTAGTCAGGGTTACTCTGGCATTAAAGCCAGCAAGGGCCATCAGCGCTTTCCACATACGCTCTGTCTGCTCTCCAAGATGCTGCATTTTCATTAAAAAAAAAAAAAAAATGAGGGCAAGACATTTACTACATGCCTGATATATAATAAGCCCTCTAGAAACATTTGCTGCTATTATCCTTGCTTATATTTTTTTAAAAAGATTTATTCATTTATCTGAGAAGCAGAGTAATAGACAAAGAGAATGGGGGGGGGGAGAGAAAGAGAAAGTCTTCCATTCGCTGATTCACTCCTTAAATGGCTGCAAAGGCCGGAGCTGTGCCAATCTGAAGCCAGGAGCCAGGAGCTTCCTCTGGGACTCCACTTGGGTGCAGGGGCCCAAGGACTTGGACCATCTTCTACTGCTTTCCCAGGCCATCAGTAGGGAGCTGGATCAGAAGTGGAGCAGCCAGGACTTGAACTGGCGCCCATATGGGATGACGGCATTGCAGATGGGGGTTTAACCTACGATGCCACAGCACTGGCCCTTCTTACTTATTTTATTAACAGTAGTCTCTATGTAGTCAGACAGCACATAATGACGATCAACCACGTATGTGACAGTGATCCTATCAGATTGTAATGGGGCTGAACAATTTTATCAAGTATCTTTTCTGTGCTTTCTCCAGGTTCCGATACACATTGTGTTACAGTTGCCTGCTGTGTACTGCAGTGTGCAGGTGGGTAACTTAGGCACAATCCACTGTCCCCTATAGCCTAGATGTGTAGTAGGGCTTGGCTTCTAGGTCTGTGTTAGTCTCCTCTATGATACACACACAGCAACAGGATTACCTGGTGACATTCTCAGAATGTGTCCCTGTGACCAAGGGACGCGTGACAGAACGTGCAGTCTGCAGCCTCAGCTTCTTTCTCCCAGGGAGATTAGCAGTGAAGAAATTCCAGGCATCTGCAGTGCATTCTGATGGCTTGGATGGAGCGAATGTCAATGCCTGGCTGTCTCTCCCTCCTCAAGCCAGCCCGGATAAGAATCCCCTCATTGGACAGAAGGAGAGAACAAACATAGAATTAAATACCTACCAGGCACCTCCTTACTCAGTTTAAGTCTCAAGCCAACCCAGGAAGTTAGGGCTGGTGTCTCCAGCTTATAGGTACAGAAACTGTGTTTCAGCACAATTCAGGAATCCACTAGAAGAATCTAGTTAGGCAGCGGCCAGGCTGAATTGGAGTCTAGATCTTTGTGACTCCAAAGACTGCAATTCTCCATGATTTAGAATGTATTCTCCGATTTTGGCCATTTCTTTTCTTTCTTTTCTTTTTTAAGATATATTTATTTATTTGAAAGGAAGACAGAGAAGGAGAGGCTGAAGCAGAGAAAGAGAGAGAGAGAGAGAGAGAGAGAGATATCTTCCATCCACTGGGTCACTCCCAGAATGGGTGCAATGGTCAGAGCTGGGCCAGGCTGAAGCCAGGAGCTTCATCAGGGTCCCTCATGTGGGTGCAGGGGTCCAAGCATTTGGGCCACCTTCCGCTGCTTTTCCAGGTGTATCAGCAGGGAGCTGGATTGGAAGTAGAGCAGCCTGAACTGGAACCAGTGCCCATATGAGATGCCAGCACTGCAGGCAACAGCTTTACCGGCTTGGCTTTGCCACAATGCCATCCCCTCTATGGCCATTTCTTTAGGAGCCTGCAGCAGGTCTGACCTTGCAAAGTTTGTGTGTGTTTAAAGAATGGCGTCTTAAGTTGTGACTCATTTTCCAGTGTCCATTCCCTGTTTTGTGGGAGACCCAGCACTAGGCCTTTAACTTCCCTGCCTTAGCTGGTCAGACTTCTCATCTGTAACCCAACCCAGGATCCAGGCAGAAAGCAGGCAAAGTAAGTTATCTGCTGTCGGGGCTGCTTAAATATTTCATGGTGGCCTGGATCGCTCCACTTTGGGGGCAGGCAAGGCAGCTAATGGATCAGCTAGAGGCACCAGATGTCCAGGGGCTGGAGATAGATGGTCCGGAGGAGGAGGCAGCGGCAAGCAGACGATGGATGCTTCAGGCCAAGCGTCTTGCTAAGGGCAAAGCTACATGTTTGTAAAGGGCCAAATGTTAAACTGTCCAGTTCAGGTGGGCCCCCAAACCTAACCCAGAGGAAAAGCTGCTTTAGTGGTTTTTTTTTTCTTTTTAAGCTTCATTTCATTTATTTGAAAGGCAGAGTGACACAGAGAAAGATGGAGAGACAGAAAGGGAAAGGGACCTTCTACCTGTTGATTCATTCCTCAAATGGCTTAATAGCTAGAGCTGGGCCAGCCCAAAGCCAGGAGCCTGGAACTCCACATGGGTCTCCCACATGGGTGGCAGGGGCCCAAGTACTTGGACCATGTTCGGCTGCTTTGCCAGGCGCATTAGCAGGGAGCTGGATTGGAAGCAGCCAGGACTTGAACCTGTTCCCACATGGGTTGCTGATATCTCAGGCAGCAGCTTAACCTACTACACCAAAATGCCAGCCTCTGCTTTAGTGTTTTTTAGAAGCTTTCAATCAGCCCTTGTACTACCTTCTGAGAAACACACACACAGACACACACATACAGAGATATACACAGACCCACACACACACAGACCCACACACACAGATATACAGACACACACACCATAAGAAACTGACAGCACCCCAGGCTGCAGAGGGGTAAACTGAGACTTGCAGCATTGAAATGGTGTTCTTTAGGCTAGCCTGAAAGTAAAGACAACTTTAGGATTTGAACCCGGCTTTCTCCGTATCCATCTAAGGGGAGTAACAGGTTATTGGAAAGATCTCAGAACCTGGAGGAGAGGAAACCTGAGTTGTTTTTTTTTCTCTTCCCCTCCTGTCACTGCCCAAGGCCAGATCACTTTCCCCATCCGGGCCTCAATTCCCATCGTCAGAGGAATCCCTGGGATCCGCGATGCCAGTACTGATGGATAGACTGTTTCCCCCAACAGCAAATCAGGCAGGGGCTATTTGCAGAGAAGGCAGGCAGGTGGGCAAGAGGGACGATCAGGTCATTGCAATTCTGGGTCTGGGAACGGGGCCTAGAGAACAGAGTCATCAGTCCTGAGCAGAGACACAAACTGCAGGCCAGTGAGCTTCTCACATGTGGGTTGCCTGTCTCTAAAGAGTTCATCTGCAAGGAGAGACAGTGGCTGGTGGGGGCACATTGCCCAGAGGTTAGTCAGCGGGATGTTGCCTTCATATGCTAAGCAGGTGGGCGCTGTCAAGAAACCAGGAGTCTGAATGTGAAAAGGGGTCTACCTCTGGCAGAGAAGAGCTTAGGTTTAGAATGCCATTTCTCTGGGCTGGCGCTGTGGCCTAGTAGGCTAAGCCTCCACCTGCAGTCCCCCCCACCCCCGCCCCGCATCCTATTTGGGCATTGGTTCTTGTCCAGGTTGCTCCTATTTCAATCTGGTTCTCTGCTGTGGCCTGGAAAAGCAAATGCTTGGGCCCCTGCACTCACATGGGAGACTCAGAAGGAGATCCTGGCTCCTGGCTTCAGATCATCCCAGCTGTTGCTGCCATGTGGGGAGTGAACCAGTAGATGGAAGACCTCTCTTTCTGTGTCTCCTCTCTCTGTCTGTAACTCTGCCTCTCAAATAAATAAATAAATCTTTATTTTTTTTATTTAAAAAGAATACTATCTCTCCACTTCTCATTCATGGAGAAATGACTTATCTACTGCCTGCCAGGCCTGGAGCTAAGTCTGGAAGACATGGAATAAATAAGACAGACATGTGCCTGCTCTCTTTGGCCTACGATCTAGTGTTAAGGAGGAGGGTGCTGTCCCTAAACAAGGGTCCCAAGGGATTTGCAGGAAACAGGACAGAGTGGGATGGAGTGACCATCAGGAGGCAGGCAGGAGCAAGGAGGAGGACCTGGAGGGGGAGGGGGAGCCAGCTTGGTGGTGGGTGGTGGGGGTGGAGGATGAAGAAAAACGAGGAGAGGAAAGCCTTGAAGCTGTGCATAGATTAGGGGGCCCCCGCTGAAAGCACCAGAAAACCAAAACCAAAGGTGGCTTTTATGATAAGGTCTCATTGAGCAGAGGGAGGAGAGCTGGGGCCACAGGGCGACTCAAGCACACTGTGTCACTGCTCTGCCCAGCCCTGCACCTCTGAGGGATCCTGGTGTGCCCGGCACATCGGATCTGTGTCTAAGGGCAAGAAGAAAGCTGCTTTTGCATGAGTGTGTGTGTGTGTGTGTGCTTATGTGTGTGTGTGTGTGTGTTTAGGAGAGAGAGAGAGAGTAAGAGAAGTGGCTTTCCCATGAGCCTCCTAGTATGCTTTTCCTTAGACCAGAGCTGGCGCATAAACCCAAGTCCAGACCAATCGCAAGTGAGGGGAGAAGCCCCGTCTGTGATGATACCGGGTGTCTCATTGGAACGGAGCAGGATAACCGCTCCTGGCACGCAGATGCTTGCTGTGGCTTGCAGACATTTTGTCTTCCAAAAAGCTCATGAGCCGGAAGCTTGGTCTCCAAAGGATGGTACTAAGGTGGCAGAAACCTGAAGGGGTGGACCTAGAGCAAGGCCGCCGGGAATGCTGCCCTCAGAAGAGGTTAGTGCTAGTCTCGAGCGGTGAGTGAGGTCTCGTGCCCAGGTTGTGATAAAGTGAGCCCATGCCACAGCTTTGCTGTTTCTGCATGCGATTGGTTCTCTTTGTTTCTCTGGCCAGGTTGTGGCTTTAGCCAAGGGGTTGGTTCCCTGGACAGAGAGGCTGTCAGGATGTGTTTTAGCCTCTAACAACTATGAGATAAGGAAACCAACTAACAGTGGAAGAAGACAAGTGTATGGAATTAGGGTTCTGTTGGCCTTAGGAAGAGGAGAGGGAGGGTTAAAGGTGACCAGCAGTGCCCGGCATAAACGAGGACACATTGTTGATCAGAGGTAGGAAGAGGAGGCAGATGTGGGAAGAATAAGCTGCTATCGGAGGTGCGGCCAGGGGATACTTGGTTCAGTTGTGAGCAGGCCGAGTTACTCATCTGTGAGAAATCAAGATGACCTTATAAATTCTATAAATATAAGGTGCCAACAAAAAGGTTCTAAGAAAGAATAACCACTGTGAATTTAATTCCAACATGCCCCAGTTGTAAAATATACTTTGATCTGTAGGATGTCAAAATGTGGGGGAAATAAAAATAATATGTGTGTGTTGGACTCATTGAACTGTGATGACACCAACTTGCAAGACAGATGCAGAACTGGAATTCAAACCCGGTCCTCCTGTTTCTGTTCCCACGTTGTTGCTTGGTTTTTGCTTTTCTCCCAGTACTGTGAGCGGCTTTCTGTAGACTGTTATGACCATACCTGAAGAGCAGAGCCAACATGGTTGATTCATATGGCAGGCCAGGAAAAAAAATCACATAGCACAGAGTGATGATAATGTAAGTTTTTTTAATATTTATTTATTTATCTGAAAGTCAGAGTTATACAGAGAGAGGAGAGGCATAGTGAGAGAGAGAGAGAGAGAGAGAGAGGTCTTCCATCCACTGGTTCACTCCCCCATTGGCCACAATGGCTGGAGCTGCGCTGGTCTGAAGCTAGGAGCCAGGAGCTTCCTCTGGGTCTTCCCACGTGGGTGCAGGAGCCCAAGCACTTGGGTCATCTTCTACTGCTTTCCCAGGCCATAGCAGAGAGCTAGATTGGAAGTGGAGCAGCCGGGACTCTAACTGGTGCCCATATGAGATGCCAGGACTGCAGGTGGCAGCTTTACCTGCTATGCCACAGCACTGGCCCCAGACAACATAAGTTTGAATTCCTCTCAGGCCACTCAACTGTGCGGGGACCCTAAGCAAAGCCTTTGCACCCCTGAGCCCGTTCCCTCTTCTGCCTCTCCTGGTTGCTATGAGGATTCACTGAAGCCTGCCATCCCCTGCAGAGTCGGTGCTCAGTCCGTTCCCTTCTGTGTTCTCTCGCAGCTGGGGAAAGACTTGAACACAGATCCCCCAGAGATAAAAAAGAACCTTTGTCTCAACTCTTCTTCCAAAGCCCAGCTGTCCTAATGAAGGTCTTCCTTGCACTCTGTGTTTGAGCCAACACTCCCTAGGCATGGACGGCGCCTTGGACCACGCTCGCCCAGTGGTCAAATCAGCTCTCGCCACCTATTCCAAGCTGCACTTGCTATTTCAGTCCAGTCGCTGAGCGCTTCCCTCGAAACCTCTTGAGCCTACAAGGTACCAAATGTTTTGAATTAATTGGCTTCTATTTTCCTTCCTGCACGTGCACCTTGGTGCCTCTTTAGGATAAGATTGACTAAAGGACTCCTTTCTGAATTCTGGCAGCCCTGATTCAGCTCGGAGTTAATTATCTGTAACATGCGGCACAATTCCCTCTGTACCTTTTAGGACATGGAGTGGAGGCATAATTTATCCAAGTCTATCACTGGAGGAAGATTGTTAGAGAAAGCAAAATTCTATGTGAGCCTTTACAGAGTTCATTCTGTCAGTCAATGGTTTATTCACTCAATATTCTTTGAGAATCTACTTTTTTTGAGGATTTACTTCTGTACCAAACATTGCAGTAAGTTCTTTATAATTCTTAATCAAGTTGATGTCTCATCAGTCTTTCAAGTCAGTATCCTTGTAAAACAACAATTATTTAGAGGGAGAGAAAGAGAGAAACAGAGAAATCTCTCAACTGCTGGTTCACTTCCTGAATGCCCACAATGCCTGGGGCTGGGCCAGACCAAGACTGGGAGTCGGGAACTCAATCCAGTTCTTCCATGTAGGTGGCAGGAGCCCAATTATTCAAGCCACCACCACTGCTTCCTGCGGCCAATGTTAGCAGGAATCTGGACTCAGGAACTGGAGTTGAACCCAACACGAGATGCAGGCACCCAAATGACTTCTTAGCCGCTAGGAAGAGGGAAAGACAAGACTGAAAACAGTATGAGTTGCTCTCCCGGTTAGTCTTCGCTCGCCCCGGATTCCACCTCTCTCTGCTTGCTCTCTCTGCGTCTGTTTGTTTCCGACTCCCCTGTTCTGAGCTTCCTGCTGTTCTCAGAGAGAAGCTGAAGTCTCTGCTCCCTGCCCCGCCCTGCTTTTGGTTGCCATGGGGGGTCTGCCAGCAGCTGTGCCCTTAATGACCGCAATTTCTCCTGGACTCCAGTAACGCCGCTTCCTCCCAGCATCCGCTTGGCTCTGGAGGTGCTACTGGTCTCCTACTGTTCTTCTCTGCAAGCTTCACCATCCCTGGCTGTCCCCCAGCCCTCCACGCACCTCCATGTGTGTTCTCTTCCTCGGAACTCTCTGCGGCGGCAATGGCTGCAGAGCACCCGAGCTGTCTCCAGTCGGAGCAGACATTTAATGGACAAGGGCAAGAGCCTTCCCAGCCTGGGAGGAAACCGTGACGGGTGGAGAGGTGAGAAGCAGCCTGTGAGGTCCATTCCATGTGCTCCTCTCAGGACTTCTTGGTATAGGAAACGTGTGGTCTATGTAATTTTTTTTTTGGTAACCATGAATTATATTAACAGCCAACTCTGTGCTCTCCAAGGTAATTGTGACCAGGAAGAAATAGTTTCAGTAATATTTGAAACTTTCATATTTAAATTTCTTTAAGAGAGAGAGAAATGTAGAAGAAATATTCTGAAAGTGCCAGAAAGAAAACAATCAAGCATAGATTTACCTTCCATCTCCAAGGCCTGGTCCCCTGAGGCCACTTCTATTACAGGTTTTCTTCCACTAATTATCTTTAAATAACAAAAATTCAGTGTCTTCTTTGTCAGCGGTGTTTTAACTGTTCCAAATGAAAGTGCTCTAAAGAAACACAAGAGGGTTTCATCTTTTAAAAAAATTATTTGAAAGACAGAACATCAGAGATATATAGAAGAAGGGGAGGCAGAAGGAATATCCTCTATCTCCCCAAATGGCTGCAAGAGCTGAGCCAGGTCAAACCCAGGAACCAGGAACTCCATCCCGGTCTCCCACGTGGGTGGCAGGGGCACAAGCACTCGGGCCATCTTCCACTGCCTTCCCAAGTGCATTCGCAGGAAGCTGGAATGGAAGTGAAGTGTATGAGACTCGAACCAGTGCTCATAGAGGATGCTGGCTTAGCAAGACGTGCCTTAACCCACAGTGCCTCAACATCATCCCAGGAGGGATTCCCACTCCCACCCCCTAAAAAAGCACAGCTGGTTTCCTTGAGGAATAACCCAGCTGTTCTTCTGCTGGGTCCTACAACTTCAAGGTTGGCAAGTAGGGCTAGAGATACCTTATGAGATGAGTATTGTTACTCTCCTCTGTGGTATGGTTATCCCCATCTTACTGATAAGGAACCTAAAGTACCAAAAGATAAGTGACTTATCTAAGAGCATAAGAGAGACAAATGACTGGGCCATACTGCATGCCCTTTGCCATTCAATGGCTTACAAGTAAAATTCTGGTGAGTTTTTTGCTACTCTATATTCTTTTTTTTTTTTTTAAGATTTTATTTATTTATTTGAAAGGCAGAGTTACAGAGAGGCAGAGTCAGAAATAGAGAGAAAGAGGTCTTCTATCTGCTGGTTCACTCCCCAGATGGCCGCAATGGCCGAAGGTGGGTTGATCCAAAGCCAGGAGCCAGGAGCTTCTTCTGGGTCTCCCATGCAGGTGCAGGGGTCCAAGGACTTGGGCCATCTTCTCCTGTTTCCCAGGCCATAGCAGAAAGCTGGGTTGGAAGTGGAGCAGCCGGGATTTGAACCTGCATCCATATGGGATGCTGGCACTGCAAGCAACAACTTTACCTGCTACACCACAGCATTGGCCCCTATAATCTTTAATAAACATTTTCTCCTTAAATACACTACAGTTCTCATTGCAGTTAGGAACCTCGACTGACACAGGAGCTCCCGACGGGTTTGACTTTGGTGGTGATGTGGAAGATAGCTGGAAAAGGAGGGCAAACTTCAGGGGCTCATGGAGGTGATGATGATGATGGTGATGGCCATGATGATGGTGATGACAGCGATTGACAGGGAAGAGGCTGAGGCTGTAGCCTCTGTGAGTCTTGGTGATTCAGAGAAGTAAGAGAAAAGCAGGTGTTAAGAATATCTGAGCTTCTAACTTGCTCATCTGGATGCATGGCCGTGTCGTTTCAAGAGAGAATCCTGGAGAAGGAGGCCACCACAGTCCCTGGCTCACGATCACCCTCCTGGCTAGCCCATCTCAGCTTCCGGCCTTCATGGTGTCTCCAGTCTTCCAGCAGGAAGTCCGCAGGCCTCAGGACTTGCTCCTCCAGCCTCCTCCACTGGGACACATCAGGCCCAACATGGTCTTCCTGTTTCCCAGCCTCGGCTCTGGCTGCCCCTTTGGCCAGCGTTGCCCTTCCCCCCGTCTCATGATTTCAAGGTGCAGTCACCACCCTCTTCCAGGAGAGTTCCCATCTCTAGGAAGTCTCAGTCCTCCGAGATCTGAAAACACAGTGTATCCACCTCCGGAGCTCCCTGTTCGGCAGCCACTGGAATAGCCTGTTTCTATGTGTGGCTCTCCCACCGGGCCGAGAATCCCCTGGGTATGCGTGTCTTCAGAGCCGGCACAGAGCTGGGTGAGGGCTTTTCCTATGCATGAGCTCATTTCCCAGCTGTGCTAGGATCAGCTCCATCCTGATTACTGCTCTGGCTTCTGCGTTTGTAGCAGAGCGCTCCTGGGGCAATGTCACCCACATGGACCCATCCATGGGCTGGAGGGCTCGGTGGTACCAGAATTTCAGAACTGAAAGACAAGCTCAAGAAATAGGGTTGCCTGCAACTTCCTCTGGTAGTGGCTTGGTCCTCAGGACGTTTTACACCTGAGACAAGTCCCAGAGGAGGTGGTTGGGGGTGGGGGATGGCGAGTATGAAATCGCCAAGGACAAGGTCAGAGCTTCAGCAGACAAGCTTCTGAGAGGCAAAGTGCCCAGCTCGTCCCTGCTGCCCTGATTGCTCAAATCGCTTGGGCAATCACCGGCCTGAGCTGTAGGCCAGGCCTCCTGCCTGGGGCTGAGTCTCAGGCCGCAGAGCAGTGACTGCAGAACAGGCCTCAGGAGTCACAGCACTGCTGGCCCTGTAGGAGGACTCAGATTCCCTCTTAATGTTTCCACTGTGGGGCCAGCGCTGTGGCGCAGCGGGTAAAGCTGCCGCCTGCAGCGCTGGCATCCCATATGGGCGCTGGTTCGAGTCCCAGCTGCTCCACTTCTGATCCAGATATCTGCTGTGGCCTGGAAAAGCAGTAGAAGATGGCCCAGGTCCTTGGGCCTCTGCACCCATGTGGGAGACCCGGAAGAAACTCCTGGCTCCTGGCTTCAGATCGGCACAGCTCTGGCCGTTGTGGCCATCTGGGGAGTGAACCAGCAGATGGAAGATCTCTCTCTCTGTCTCTCTTTCTCTCTGTGTATAACTCTGACTTTCAAATAAATAAATAAATATTTTTAAAAAATGTTCCCACTTTGCCTGCCTGTGCTCAAGGACACTTAGCTGCATAGAGAAAACAGGTGCCCTTGGATCCCACCATCAGCACCGCAGCCCCTGGCCACAAGATCGGGCTGCGGTGGTGGTGGACAGGGTATAGAGAATATTGTGTAGGACAAAGCAATTGATACAAACACGTCACCTGGGCCAGGTGTAAGGCTGCAGAGAAGGGCGGAGATTGTAGAAAATGAGAACCCCTCCTCTCCATAAAGGGAGCAGCCACCACCCACCTCCCACCAATTTTTGCCATGAGAGGACATGAGTCCAGAGTGGCCAGGTCCTCTCATTTTTCTTCAAATGGACCCAGAAATAGGAATTTTTAATACGAAATCTCCCAATATTACATATGGAAAGTGAGTTTTAAAAAAGGTTTAAATAGGAGCTGGTGCTGTGGCGTAGCAGGTAAAGCTGCCACCTGCAGTGCCGGCATCCCATATGGCCGCCAGTTTGAGACCTGGCTGCTCTACTTCCGATCCAGCTCTCTGCTATGGCCTGGGAAAGCAGTAGAAGATGGCCCAAGTGCTTGGGCCCCTGCACCCGCGTGGGAAACTGGAGGAGGCTCCTGGCTCCTGGCTTCAGATCGCACAGCTCTGGCCATTGCAGCCATCTAGGGAGTGAACCAGCGGATGGAAAACCTCTCTCTCTCTCTCTCCCTCCCTCCCTCCTTCCCTCCATCTCTCTGTGTATATCTGTGACTTTCAAGTAAAATAAATAAATCTTTAAAAGAAATAGGTTTAAATCCCTTGCCAAACAAAGCATAGGGCCTGTGGGTATCCAGCTGGTGACCTCTCTTCTATGACATCCGCATGTTTCCCACTGCGCAAAGTCACAGAATCACCCACCGATCCCTCCCTGAGTCTGCGCAGTAGAGAAATCTGCAGGTGGAGCGAGGCAGTGGAAAGATTTTGGGAGGCAGAAACAAATGCACCTGCATCTCGGCTTACTGTTTCCTAGGCATGGTCTTCCCTGAGCCTTACTTCCCGTGTCTGTAAAGGGGGGGCAGTACTGTCAGCCGCCTGCAAGCAATCATCCCCCCATTCCTTGGCCCTTTCTTGCTAACACAAAGTAACTGTGAACTCAAGGGAATGAATTAGTGGGACCCTGTTCCTTCCACTTTGCCAATGCTTTGCCCAGGAACAGGCATGAGACCCAGGTTTGGACAACGAGCTGGAAAGGGCAGTCTGCTAAGGAATCCTTGAGATGCGTCTTCCTGATGAAAGAGCACACGCTACAGAAGAAGCGCTCTATCTTTCCTGTTTGGAACACTCCACGGTGAGATGTGATGCATGGAGCTTGGCAGTCATTTTGTGATCATGTGGGAAACATAAAGAGTGTCACAGTCCTGGCAGTGAGAAGCCTGCTTGCTGATGTTTTGTCAATAAATAGTAAATGTCCTTATGGCTTAAACCTGAGCATGCAGAAGAATTATCTGGAAGGGAGCAATGACGACACCTGTGAGCCATATTGGAGTGCCTGGGCTTTTTTTTTTTTTTTTTTTTAAGATTTTATTTATCTATTTGAGAGGTAGAGTTCCAGACAGAGAGAAAGGTCTTCTGTCTGCTGGTTCACTCCCCTAGGACTGCAACAGTCAGAGCTGAGCCGATCCAAAGCCTGCAACCAGGAGCTTCATCCGGGTCTTCCATGTGGGTGCAGGGGCCCAAGGACTTGAGCCATCCTCTACAGCTCTCTCAAGCCTTAGCAGGGAGCTGGATCAGAAGAGGAGCAGCCGGGACATGAACTGGCGCCCACATGGGATGCCGGCACTGCAGGCAGAGGCTTAGCCTATTATGCCACAGCACCAGCTCTGGAGTGCATGGGTCTGATACCCACCTCCGCCCCTGACACCACTTCCTAAGGCAAAGCCTAGAGGGCAGTGGTGATGGCTCCTCCTCCTTGTGGGAGACCTGGATTGAGTTCAGGTATCATTACACGCATTTAGGGAGAAAACAAGAGGATGGCAGCTTGCTTTCTGTCTGCTGCCTCTCAAAAGAAGAGAAGAGTCACCTGGAAGGCTTGTTAAAACACAGAACGCAAGCTCCAGTCCCGGGGGGTTTCTGATTCAGTAGGGGTAGGGAGGCGCCCACGCATGCGCATTTGGGAGATGTTCCCAGGTAATGTTGCCGATGCCAGTGAACTGCATTTTGAACGCTGCTTTTTGAGTGGCTATTAGCCGGCTGTCCTATTCCTTGCTGTTGAACACCCGATGATTGATATAATGACACTGTAGACATGAGGGGATACATTTTGTCTTTTTTTTTTTTTTTCTGTTTTTCCTTTTCATCTGGAGGTGCTGTGGTCCGCCCCACGCAGCCTGACCCGGGTCAGCTGGAGGCAATGGCCTGAAATGTATCTGGAGTGCTTCTCTCCGGCTGATGTCAGACGATGAGATTTCTGCTGTGTGACTTCCAGCGGAAGCTCCCATCTTCTGTGCATTTCAGGAACCGCAGTGAAAGGCACATTCTGGGGTCAGCATCTATCTTCACTACAAAAGGGCCTCTCAAACCCCCGTGAAACTGAATCTGTCGAGACACAGCTCGGACAGGGCTTGTGGGCATCAAGCTGGGAGATTCCTCTGTATAGCTCTTCGAACCGTCCTTGTAACGACCTTGGACTTCTCTCACAGACTTGACACCGCGTGGGCCCAGCCCAGAAACCAGAGTGAACTGTGCACCATCATCTCCCAGCAGACTGAGGGAGTCCTTAAAGCTGCCTGGTGCAGATCTGCCTCTCCACGCTTGGACGCCCGTGCCTTCTGCTCCGTCTCATCTCTTTTTGTTCCTTTTGCATAGCTGTCTCTCTACTCCTACTTCTCTGAAGTTTTTCCTATTCCCCAGCCCTCAGAGTTTTCCTTTTCCAAGCTGTGCTGATCATTCCTGCCCAGCTGGAAGGAGCCACCGCACGGATCAGTAGGAAGAGTCTGGTGAAATCACTCTCACACCCCCTGCTCCTAGTCCAGCTCCAGGCATCTCCAGGTAGAATCAGATCTAGCCATCACCTAGTGGTCTTGTTAATGTCAATTTTGTCTGGGCTGGGGCCTGAGATCCTGCGGGTGCTGCAGACCACGCTTAGCCAAGCAAAGCCCTGGATCTGCACTGCCATGTGAGGCAGCCACTTGTCACCAGTGACTGTGGAGCCCCTGCAATGTGGCTGGTCTGAATTGAGATGCACTGACAATGCTGATTAGATGCTGGATTTCAGAGACTTAGCACAAAAGAGCATCAGCTGTGGCATGAATCATTTGCATCATTGATTAAGTGTGGTATGGGCGTATTTTGGATATATTGGGTTAAATAAAAATACCTGGCTAAAATTAAACTCACCTTTTTTTTTTAAATGTGGACTACTAGTGGTATATTATATTGAACATATGGCTGGCACTGTGGCTCAGATTGTATTTCTAATAGCACTGTTTTGGATTATGTTGTATGCAAACTTTTTAGGGACCAGGAATGTCTTCCCCAAGGAGCTTTGAGCTCATTACGGGGAACTGCACAGGCTCTTTCCCCGGGTCTCTCCTCCCGAAGGCTGAGCAACCTGCCCACGTGCAAACGTGGAAGCCAGTCTGTGGCCAACGTATGGCTTTTGGTGGAGAGGGGAGAGAGACGATGGGGTCTGGACATGAGGCTGGCGTATCCTGCAGAAGGTGCATTCTCAGCACAGGACAGAGATGCAGGCAGGATGGGAAGTGGGGGCGGGGGCCAGCCCTTCTATGTCACTCCCTTGAGGCACAGAATTCTGAGGCATCGGAGACGTCTAAACTCAATCTTGGCCTTCCAGAGTGTGAAGCAGATATATTTGTCAGGGCATGAGGGTAGAGCATATTTTATTTAACAGTTTGTTAGCTTGATTTATAACTTTTAATATTTAGACATATAATATGCTGGCCTCTATTTCTCCTCTTGCCCTGGGCAAGGAAGGTAATTACTTGTTCAAGTTAGTGAGGACCCGGATGCGGGAAGTGCACGGTGTGCGTTCGGAGCCCGGAGGGGGCGCTACTGTGCGCGGGACAGAGGGCTTTTGCAATCCAGAGGAGAGGACCACCTTCACAGTGGTCCTTGCTCGTGCACAGGGCAGGAGGGTCAGCCTGCCATCCAGCTGCTAGGCTGGCCACTCCGGAGAGCAGCACGGCTGTCTGACCTCAGCCCCCTCCACCGCCTCTTGATTGCAGCTGCGGAGTTCCTGTGTGCAACATGGCCATCCGTTCCCTCAAAGGAAACCCAAGAAGGACGAAATACTGCAAGGGTCCAGGCTCTGATCTGGGTCTTTCAAAACTAGGTTGGGGTAGACAGGCATGAGGCTGCTTGGGTTTGAATTCCGAGTCTCCCTCGCCAGGCCTCAGTTTCCCCATCAGTAAAACGGGTTGGACTGTAATCAGAAGGTTCTTAGGAAAACGAATTGAGATAACAAGTGTAATGAGTTTAAAGCACTATACAAACACCAGTCATTCCTAAGTGCATTTACAGATAGCACGGTATGGTGTGGACAGCTGAGGTTCTAACCCGCTTCTCCTTCACTCGCAAACCCAGGCTCCTCCCTGCTGTCACACTGCCTGTCACACCTGAGCGTGTCTCAGTCACAAAGAGACAAAGAGAAATCTGTCTGTCTCCTCTCTCTCTCTCTCTCTTTTTTTTTTTTTTTTTTTTTTTGACAGGCAGAGTGGATAGTGAGAGAGAGACAGAGAGGAAGGTCTTCCTTTGCCATTGGTTCACCCTCCAATGGCCGCTGTGGCCGGCGTGCTGCGGCTGGTGCACCGCGCTGATCCGATGGCAGGAGCCAGATGCTTCTCCTGGTCTCCCATGGGGTGCAGGGCCCAAGGACTTGGGCCATCCTCCACTGCACTCCCTTGCCACAGCAGAGAGCTGGCCTGGCAGAGGGGCAATCCTCTCTCTCTCTTAAGGTTCTTTCTCCGGAAGCTGGAGAGAGAAGGCCCAAAACAATAGCAGGTGTGAATTTCATCCAACTACCAGGGGTGTGCCTCTTGGGCTGGGCTGGGCTGGGAAGGGACTGCCCAGCACCCCCAGTTTCCTGCTTGCATTTTCAATCAGAGCCCTCTGGTCTGGAAGCACACCTGGGCCTACAACGCGCTCCTGAACCCAGAGTGCTGAAGACACAGCAGGAAACCTGGCCGCTCTCTCTGCCCCGTCTCCTGCGCCTCCTTCCACATGGGGCTCCCTTCCGATTCCTTGACAGCTGAAGCCAGTGGCTCTTTTTTTTTTTTTAAACAATCTTTTTTAAATATTTATTTATTTATTTATTTGAAAGGCAGAGTTACAGAGAGGCAGAGGGGGAGAGAGAGAGAGAGAGAGAGAGAGAGAGAGGTCTTCCATCTTCTGGTTCACTTATCAGATGGCCAAAACAGCCATGGGTGGGTCAGGGTGAAGTCAAGAGCCATGAGCTTCTTCCAGGTCTCCTACAAGGGTACAGCGGCCCAAGTACTTGGGCCATCTTCCACTGTTTTCCCAGGTCATTTAGCAGGAAACTGGATCAGAAGTGGAGCAGCAGGGACTCGAACTGGTGCCCATATGGGATGCCTGTGTCGCAGGCAGTGGATTTAACCTACTACACCACAATGCTGGTCCCAGTAAATATTTTTTAAAAAAGAATTGTTGTGTTCCAATAAAACAAAAACAGAACACTTATTTTTCTGAATATAAATTCAATATCCATGTATTCCAGGAAATTTTTTTAATTCAGAAGTAATAAGTCACTAACATGCCCATCCTACTATCTAGAGAACCAAGATGAATGACTTTGTGTCTCTCCTTGGAATTTTTTTCTATGTGTATTTATGTTTTCAAAAATGAAATTATTATTCCTTGTTAAGAAAAATAGAAGTCACTTATTTCCAACTTAAGTTCTGAAGAAATTTTTTCTCCTAAGATATATTAGCATACTTTTTAAAATAAGGTGCAAATAACATAGCGTCACATCTGTCTCACATTTCAAGCCTCATCGTGTTTTCCTTTTTGTTCAGGCCGCTGGGAAACTCAACTTTGCTAAAAGCCTAGTATCCTTTGCTTGGTTGTTTCTGTTCTGATTTCCTTCCTGGTCTCGAGCTACTAAATCTATTGCTTTCTTGTGCTAATTTGTCCTCCACTCATAGGTTTCTAGCTCACCGGGGTATTGTATTGTGTTTGTGTGCATACATAATATCACACGTATTACTGTGAGTGTGCGTGGAAAGGGGCCAACAGAACATAAATAGTCATTAAGAAGAAGATTTACCAAGTTCTAAAATTATTTTTTGATCTATTACAGTCACACAATCTGGCCAAGCCATGCAGTCATGAAGCAGGGAGGGAGTTGGTGTATGTGAGCCAGAGAGAGAGACAGACGCTTCAGCCACTACACGTACAGCTGTGCGGGCTGCTTAGGTTCTTGGCGACCGTTTGTCACTGGTGCATGCTTCGGAGCCGTGTCTGCTGTCTCTGATAAGCCCCGATGACTCATTTCTCTCCAGCCTGTGCATCTGCCACAGCCTCCAGACCACTCCCTGGGCCCCAGAGCAAACACCTTCCACCCACCCTACTGAGTCCCGGAGTGGTTTTCCTTTTGTTTTCAAAGCAAACACGAACACACGACACCCCTGCTGAAGCCCTCCGTGCTACCCACAAACTACGCTTTGAAATGCACTCATCTAGAGTCATCCACATTTGATCATTTAGACAAAAGGGATCCAGAGAGGGAAAGCAACTTAGTAACTCATTCCTTTGTTCCTTCATTCCAACAGGCACACATTTGACTTAAAAACTTTTTTTAAATGTATGATTCTGGGGGCCAGAGTAGTGGGTAAAGCCCCTACCTGCAACACCAGCATCCCATATGGGCACCAGTTCGAGTCCTGGCTGCTCCACTTCCAATCCAGCTCCCTGCTAATGTGCCTGGGAAAGCAGTGGAAGATGGCCCAAGTCCTTGGGCCCCTGCACCCATGTGGGAGAAAGCTCCTGGCTTCTACCCAGACAGCCCCAGCTGTTGAGGCTCTCTGGGGATGGGACATCTCTCTCTATGTATCTCTCCCTCTCTCTCTCTGTCATTCTGCCTTTCAAATAAATAAAATAAATCTTTTAAAAATGTGTAATTCTTTTTTAAATGTTTATTTTATTTATTGAAAGGCAGAGTGACGAGACAGAGAGAGAGAGAGAGAGAGAGAGAGAGAGAAATCTCCCATCTGCTGGTTCATTCCCGAATGCCCACAGCAATCAGCTCTGGACCAGGCTGAAGTCAAGAGGCTGGAGCTCAGTCAGGGTCTTCCAAACTTTTCAGTGTGGTCAAATGTACATAACATAAAACGTCCATCTCAATGCCTTTTTAGCATAAGGTCCAGTGCTATTAAATGTATTCATCGTGTTGTGCCCATCACCCTCCCTCCTCTCTAGAGCTCTTCACCGCACAAAACCAAAACTCCGCACCCAGTCCACAGCACTTCCCCAGGCTGCCTCCCCCCAGCCCCTGGTAACAGCCATTCCCGTTTCTGTCTCTGTGATTCTGATGATTCTAACTACCTCTTCAGAGGTTTTCAAACAGGGAGAACTAAGTGATGCATTGTGCACTAAGCAATTGAAAAATGGAGCTATGCAGCATTAGCTATCATTTGAAAGGAGGAATAGCATTGTTTGACTAAGACAGAGAGGCGTTAGGCTGCCAACGTGTGTTGGGATTTGGGGCTCTAAAGGAATGAGCCCAATAACCACGAGTTTAAAACCAACTCTTTTTTTTATATTTATATTTTATTTTATTTTATTTTATTTAATGAACATAAATTTCCAAAGTACAGCTTATGGATTACAATAGCTTCCCCCCCCCCATTAACTTCCCTCCCACCCACAGCACTCCCCTCTCCCACTCCCTCTCCCCTTCCATTCACATCAAGATTAATTTTCAATTTTCTATATATACAGAAGATCAATTTAGCATATATTAAGTAAAGATTTCAACAGTTTGCACCCACACAGAAACACAAAGTGTAAAATACTATTTGAGTACTAGTTATAGCATTAATTAAACATCTAAGAGTAATTGTGTACTAATTACAGAGTTCAACCAATAGTTTTAAGTAGAACATAAAAAATACTAAAAGGGTAAAGTATTAAGTTCTTTTTTTCTGTTTCTTTTTTTGTTTGTTTGTTATATAGTTATTTTTTTATTTAATAAATGTGAATTTACAAAGTGCAGCTTTTGTATTGTTGTCGCTCCCCCCAACCAACCTCCCTCCCTCCTGTGGCCCTCCCCTCTCCCACTCCCTCTCCCATCCTGCCCTTCATCGAGTTTCATTTTCAATTACCTTCATAACAGAAGATCAACTTAGT